TTTTATTAAAAAAAAAAATATATATATATATATATATATATATATATATATATATATATATATATATATACAAATAAAATAAAAAAGTTAAAACAATAATATTAAAATATTACTACAATTTAAAATAACTGTTTTGTATTTGATTATATTTTAAAATGTTGTTTATTCTTTGATGGCAAAGCGGAATTTTCACAATTGTCACTTTTTCAGAGTCACATGATCATCATTCGGATATGCTGATTTGGTGCTCAAGAAACAAATCATACACTGATCTTAATTGTGTTGTATCTAATCTTAACTTCTTTAACTCTGATGTCATGACAATGTAAATAATAATTTAAACTTTACAGCTAATAATACACAGGTTTATGCTGAATAACTCATGTATGTGCTTTGTGTATTTTACATAAATACCAGCTTAATACTTATGCGCTTACCCCTGGAACTGGTCTTATTTACTTCCATTGTAAATGTATTTCTGTATATGTGATTTTGTTGTCTTTTTTTAATTAGTCAAATTTATTCTCTGTGGTAATCAACAAAGGCTGTTGATAGAGCTTGACTTGTGATTCTTGATGAGACATTAGATTCGTTCATTTGTCTCTCCCTTTTGTCCCTCGTGTACAAGAGGTTTACCAGAGAGACTGTTAGCCTGCCTCATCTTAAATACTGTTACATAGTGCATAATCTCTCACAAAGCACTCTAGAAAGAGAAAATATTGCCTAACAGATGAGATCATCTGGGCTTAAAAACAAAGGAATGAAAACAGGGAAGAGTGAAGGTGTTCAAACACAGATAAGTTATCTTAGCAACCCCCCACACACATTGAAAATAAACATATCAACCGCATACAGTGACCCCAAAAAGTATTTGGGCCCTTTAGGCAGTTTCATACACACAGATCTGGACATGATTGCCTCGTCCTCTTCTGTTAACGGACTGCAGTGTAAGCAGTCAGTAATTAGTGTTGTGGTCCATTTAAACATTATTCTACTACAGTCCATTAGAGATGTAAATGACTACAGCAGAGCTGCACTCATGCAGAAAACCTTGAGCTTAGTTTATCACTGAAGGCACATGAATTTACATGAACATAAATCTGATCTCTCACTCAGGGATGTATGATAACTATCACACAAGATCCACCAAACCCATGAGAGAGAAATTAAACACTCGTTCTCGATCCTGTGATCTGTGATTTTGGATTTAGAGGGTGGTTCAGTGATAAGAGAGGGTGAAACTGTCTTTGGTACACTGTGGTCCTTTATCAAAGTATTTAGTCATCGCAAATGATTCCCGAAATCATTCATCATGTGGGATGAAAACAGAAATTGAACTACAAACACTTCAGTGGAATTCAGTGTGAGAATTGGGGATGTACGTGTGTACTGTACGTGCAAATATATATCTGTACAGAACCAGGGTTAAGCAACGTTCAGAATTAAAAATCAGCTCCCATTCCATTCATGAGTGTGAAGTTGAATTTAATTGGTCCTATCCCACAAGATGTTGGACTGGAATTTGCATTGGACTGAGCAGTAAGAAATTACTGAATTGCAATTCAAAGACATTTAACAGTCGAAAGTATCCAAAATAGAAATAATTACATAGTTAATATTAAGTTGAGTTTTTACATGTGTTTCTTAATGAAACAAACATATTTAAATGAAGTTTAATACTGTCAAAACAACTACCACAACAAACCAAAGCAAAGAAGAAAAAAAAACAATGGCACATGGCTACATATGCTCCATTACAATTTAATGCAGTAACTTGTTTAATGAAGTTACTTGATTTATTTATTTATTCTTTTGCTTTTTTGTGCCTTTTTTGGTCTTGCACCTGTTTGACAGTATTTTTGGATGTGTGCATATTAAAATTAATACAGCCATTAAAACACCAGCCATAGAGAACCACAAAAATGTCAACATTATTTTAAGAGCACTTTATAAAAATATAGAAATTTAGGATCAGTTAGACATGTTCATTATACTGCATTTAAATATATAAAATATTCCACGTGTTCTATGAATATATGTTTATGGGTCATTCATACCAGACATGTGTTAAATATGGTATTAAAAATCACACTTTCAGCAGTCATATGAATTTTTTTCATATATGAGTTTTACTCCATTGCATTTATATTGCCTTGAATTAAAATATAAATTCCAATTTTCAAGCATGTTTGCTCATTTCAAATTCTGTAACTGATTTGCACTTTAAAGTCATTCTACACTTAATTCTTATTGATGCACAACCCTGGACAGAAGACGCCTCGTAGACAATGAAAAAAATGCGAAACTAAGCAATACTTGTGTCCTTGAACCTTTCTCTCTCTTTCTCTCTCAAGTTTTTTCCATGTCATAATAGGTCAGGACGAACTTTGTTAAAGCTTGTTAAAGCTATATGGCACTCGGATGCATGGCTGTATTATAATCCAAAACTGGCAGGAAAAAAACGGCTCTACAGTTCCAAACTGACGTCAATTCGACTCCCGGATCAGCCCACCTAAGCCTCACCTCACCAGAGACAAGCTGTAAATCCAATGAACTAGAGAAGGGATGATAAAGTAAATGAAAAGACATGACAGGAGCTGGAGGGCAGTGAGAATGTGAGATTAAGTGAGAGGAGAGAAATAGATCTAGAAGAGATACAAAGGGGAAGAAGAGAAAATTACAGTGTAAGAGAATAAGAATGCAAGAAAAGGAGAAAAATGAGATGAGAGAAGTAGATGTGTCTGCATGTTTGGGAAACAAATTAAGTTTGGTTATTTATGGAAATGGAGGGGCAATATCCAAGTGATTAAAATGTATCTCAGTGTTGTCTGAAGCATGCACATGTGTGTAATTCATTCATTAAATAGTCCACCATTACTGTGCATGAGGACAAAATCAGTGCGTGTGATTGTGTGTGTGCAAAACCCAGCAACATATTTTCAGTCATGGAGCTTTTCTTCAATTATAAGAAGAAACAATCAGAAAGCAACACAGGAAATGAAAGAGTCATGGAGACTGACCCCGTGCATTACTCAGTTCTCTTGTAATCCCCAGAAGACAGCATGAGGGGTAAATACGGATTGGCTGTCTGTTGTTGGCAATGTCCTTCTTTTCATTCTTTCTTTCTCTCTGCTATCATATTACTACAAATCATTTCTGTGAGGACACATATGATCCATGGATTTTTTTTGTGCATTAACACAAGCTTTTAATCATTGTATAACATCTGTTAAAATCATTTGTAGATTTTCGAGATGTGCATGATCATATGAATTAGAAGTTTAATGACATTTGTAAGCATTTTAATTTACATGAAATGTTAATTATTAGGTAATGTTTAATAAATTTATTAGTAAACATTAACAAGCACATTATTTCACATTTCTATAGATATGTGAATATATATGAACTAATGATCTGTTAAGCACTACATATTATTTGTTAATGATTTATTAATGAAAGTTATTATAAAGTGTTACCCAAAAAAACCCAGCTTTCTCATTTTTCCACCCAAAAAGACATTGAAAATCTATCAGCTGATATGTGCCAACAAAAGTAAGACTGGACCTTAAAGGAATGATACATTTTAAGCTTTAAATGTAAATTCATTAAAAAAAGTTTATTATTATTATTATTATTATTATTAAATCAACAGCTCAAATTGGCAGTCCCTTTTTTTCTTGTTTTTTAAAGCAAGCAAAAACTGCTATTATAGTAACGCACTTACAAAAGTACATGTGGACTTCAAATGTTTGGGGTCTGCAAAATGTATTTTATTTTTTATTTTTTTTAAGAATTATCTTATGCTGCATTTATTTGTTTAAAATAATTTCATTAAA